ATGTCTCTTTATGTAATCATAAGCCCATGGGCTCCAATATTGCCAATGTGCAGCATAAGGCATGGGCGGTGGCATCCATCAGTCTGAAGGCCAGGGGGGGCATGCCCAAGGCAATGGGGTGCTGGAAGCTGGGATGAGTCGAAGGCACCGATATTTTGGTACCAGGTGTCAAATGAGGTGAGAATGGCAGCCTTTCTTCATTGTCGTCAGCACTGGATAAAAGTGTAGGTGATGAGATGTGTTTTGGTACCGCTGAATAAGGTGACATGTCTGTACTGAGGTATGGAGAGTTAAAGGTAGATGATACCACGAGATCCTTCTGGTGTAAGAAGGTGGGTGCTGGAGGTTGTCAGTTCTGTGATTGGTACCGGAGCTGGTGCAGTTGCTGTTGGTTCTAATGTGGGTTACAGTGCCAAGTCAGATGCAGCACCATTAGGTGGTGGAGTGATGCTGAAGGGCTGCACAGGCAGCTGCTGTGTCAATAGGTCTTGGTGCCAGGACTGCAGTCATGGAAAGGCCTGTAGCCTCAGTACACGCTTTGTGGGTGCTGTGCTTGGAAAGGGCCTGGTCAATGCCAGAAGTACACAGGGTATCTGAGCCATCAGTACCAACTTTTGGTTTTAGGCGAGTGCCCTCTCTAAGGTAACAAAGAGGCATGTTTCTTTGGGGATTTTTTCAGGTTTCGTCTGGTCAGGAGCTTGTGAGCTGGGATCGGGAGAGGGGTGTTGTGCCTTTTCTAGCATAATTATTTTCAGGTAAAGGTCCTTGTTTCTCTACGTTTGCGCCTTGAGTTTGGTGCAGTGCTGGCAGTCCTGTTGAACATGGGATTCACCTAGGCATTTTACTCACTTAGCATGTCCATCTGAGAAGGGCATGGTGTCATTACATGCTGAACAGCATTTGAAGCGTGGTGACCCTGGCATTATGCAATAAACGGCAACTGGCAGGAAGTTAAATTGGAGAATAAAAATGGAAGGTTTTCTTTTTAAGGAAACCAAACTTGGATAAGAAATAAGGTAACAAGAGAAGAATTTAAATGAGAATTCAACTACTTATCTACGGGTATGTCTACACTTGCACCCTAGTTTGAACTAGGGATGCAAATGTAGGCGACCAAAATTGCTAATGAAGCAGGGATTTAAATATCCCGTGCTTCATTAGCATGATCTTGCCGGCGTGTTTCGAAACAGCTTTTCAGCAGAGTAACGTGCCGGTGAGATCATGTTAATGAAGCATGGGATATTTAAATCCCCGCTTCATTAGCAATTTTGGTCGCCTACATTTGCATCCCTAGTTCAAACTAGGGTGCAAGTGTAGACGTACCCTACAGGATTAACAAAGAGTGAAGAGCACTGTCTGAGCTCCAGCTTAGGCTTGGGATGGTAAGAAGGAATTGAGGGGAGGGTGGCCACGCATGCATGGTCATGCTGAGCAGCACCTGTGTGCCTTGCACGTCGTGCATGCACAGCCCCTATGCACTGCTATGAAGAATCTGGTTTGCGGTGCTGGGATGCACTGACACCTCCTGTGGAGCACCCCCAAGGATGGCTCTCTAAGAAGAAAGTATGTTACAATGCCAACAAATCAGAACGATAGCACTAACTAAACTTTTTTGCACTGGTGCAAGGTCCCATTTGGACCTCCATCTATTCTGTGGGAAAAGTGTTGGGATATTTCAGAGTTAACAGGGGTTTGGGAAAGCCTGCAACATTGGCGAGGGTTTGATTTTTCTTACTAAATTATAGGTCTGTTTTCCTCTTACATGAGGTCTACTTTCTCTCTCCTTGCTATCTGTAGGAAAGATAAGTGAGGATTGTTTTCTCTTCCCTGGCTGCTGACAAGATAGATAGGGGCACTGTTAGACTAAACTGCAACTTGATAAACACACCCATTGTTAATGGTGCCTTATTGCATCACTTGCCAGTTCTCACTCACTGTAAAACTTATTATTAGGGTCAGAGCTTCTTTCCCTCTCCCTGTAAGCTGTTGATTAAGACAGTATGTAATGCTGATTCAGCTAAAAACCAGTAAACAACAAACAGGGGTGGGTACAATTGTATTAATCACCTGCTTATTAATATTCATTGTATGGGAGTTAACCTTACTAAATAAAGGTTTATGGAAAGTAGAGATAAATGTGTGACTTTACATACCGTATTTTCCGGCGTATAAGGCTACTGGGCGTATAAAACGACCCCCTAATTTTTTAGTTAAAAGATAGGGTTTCGTCTTATACCCCAGCACCCCTCCTCCTCCCCGGCTTTGCTCCCGGTGTCCCTGGTCTGCTGGAAAGCCGCAAAGCTGTATACCCGGCGTATAAGACGACCCCCGATTTTTGGGGGATGTTT